AAATTCAATAATACCTACAACGGGAGTATGGTAAAAATGATGGAATTGCAAAATGGCTAAATTAACTTCTTTACTGAAAGACAAAGCAACTGGAAATTCCTTATAGACTTTTTTCATGGAAAAATGTGCTTATGATTTGTGGTTTTAATGATTAGAAAAAATCTGCATAATATAAAATAATAAGCTTTTTTCTAATTAGAGTAAGAGATAATTTTTGTCAACAATTTTATAATTGTACTTTCAGTATATTTATTGCAAAGAAAATTGGAAGTCTCTTTTCTTCTTTTCTGAACTTTTTTCTTTCTTGTTCTCTTTTCTGCATTTTTTCATTAGCTTAATGTTTCAAATTTCATTAATGTTTATGTTCTGTGTAAAACTTTTAATGACATTTATGAAAAGATAAAGAATTAAAAGCAAAATGCTTACCATGCTTACCATGAATAAGAAAGTTAAAAAGATGGACTAAAGGGACAGTTAAATTTGGAATACTGTCTTATTTAAAGTATTTTTTTAAATTAAATAGATAATGTATCTCTGCATGGGAAAGAAGAATATTTAAATCTGTCATGGAAGCTGACTGGCTGACTGTGGTAAACAAATAAATAAGAAATAAAAAGAAGGGAAACAAGAACTTCTGGGAACTTCATGTGGTTATGGAAATATGGAGTATTGGAGTAATTGAAAGGGACTAAAACATTATGGACATTTTAAAAAACCTTTTGTTTTGTTACTCCTTTTATTATTACAAATTTGAAATAAAGAAAAAGTTATTGCTATAAAAGGAGTGAAAGTTATAGGAGGAAGGAGAGGATTTTTGGGCCACTCCAGAATAATATATTTGGTTATGACAAATGAATGTGCAAAACTGGGTATTATTTCATTAGCCAGCAAGATTATTTTATGTGTATAAGATGAAGAAATATACAGTACCCACACAGACAATGAAATAACAAGTATGTTTGTGGAATACTGAACCTTTAATGATTTAAGAGCTGTGGTAGCACAGTGTGCAGCACTGCAGGCTACTTCTGTTGACTGTTGATTGCCAGCACTTGAGCAGTTCAAGTCCCACTAGCTCAAGGTTGACTCAACCTTCCATCCTTCCAATCTGTGACCCAGATTGTTAGGGGCAACAACTAACAATCTGTATCTTTGAATCTTTGACTCTGTACACCACTTAGAAAGGGCTGTAAAAGTACTGTGAAGCGGTATATATGTCTAAGTGGTATTGCTAGTGCTAATAATGAAAATGGAAAGAGCTAAAATAATAATTTTAGACTGCATGATTGAAAAAGTGTTGAAGACAATGACAAAGGGTTCCTGGTTATGTTTACAAGAAAAAATAACTTTGATTGTAATTGCTGTAATGAAAGTTAGAAGTCATAGTCTTTTTTTCCTTTTTTCCTTTTTCCTTAATTGTTTCCTTTTTCCTTTTACTTTCTTTTCTTCTTTTCTGTCTTTTATATATTTCTTATTTTTCTTTGAAGTAAACATTTTCATTAAAAATATTAAAAAGAGAGAAAATATGCTTTAAAAAGATTTTTAGACAACTCTCTTCTCTTTTAGACTTCACCTGAAAGAAGACAAGAACTCTTGTAGAATCTCAAGATCAACAAGGGTCTTGCTAGACTTGGACATTGGGTCCTATCCAGTGGTGTGATTCAGCCAATTTGTACCGATTTGGCAGAACTGATACCTAATTTTTTTATTGACTTTGGTGAACCGATTAAGAATAAATCTGTGTTTTCCAGAATACGTCTGGTTTTAATTCAACTTCCAAGTGGAAAAGAAACCCTCACCCCAAATGTTCGCACTCCCAATCCCCTTAAGGCTCTCGTTGGGAAAAACTCTGTGGCCTTTAAACTAAAGCCAACCAAGCCGGGCGCAAGAATAGATCTAAAATGCTCTCCACCCTTTGCCTAGCAGCTTAGGTGCGAGGACTCTCCAAACTTTCTGGAATCAGTAACAGAGGAATCATCTTAAGTAGGGGGCTGTCTTTCTTTCTTTCTTTCTTTCTTTCTTTCTTTCTTTCTTTCTTTCT